GCTCAATGTCAATGCGAATGGGGGACTCTGACAGGCACAGACATACCCAGTAGGCAATTACGAATGGGAAGCTCAGGGCATGCAGCAGATTATCAGTAGTAAATTTTGTGCTGTGCTACAAAGAGTTGAAGTGCCTTCAATGATCTAGGTCTAGGCATAACCTTAATTGGCAGTTCACTGAACTCTGCCGGCCAAAAACCACTCACCACTCAATGGATCACTTCTGTGGATGTATGAAGCGTGGCAGTGGCTCGTTCCTTGCCGGGTTAATCGTTTATACACAGGTTCAACTTATCTGCATGGTCTTACTCCTCCTGCTCCTCCTCCTCCTGCTGCTCCTTCTCCTCCCCCTCCTGCTACTGCTGCTGCTGCTCCGATTTGGCTGTCAGTGACATGCATAAATTAACGCTTTTCGGAGGCAGAACGTGGACGGCAGGACAGCTGGAGAGCTGGCTGCTGCTGCCCTAAAAAGTATGCAACAAGATTTGCTGGCCTGCCCTGCCCTGCCTGCCATTTACGCAAATAAATGCGCCAAACTTTTCTCGAGAGAAACAGCGAATCGAGCGGCTGGCAGGGGCTAGCTGAATAGTTAAAAAGAAAATCAGAGAGAGAGGGATGGTGAGGGGTAATAGCGGCACAGTGAGAAAGGAAGAGTAAAAAAAAAATAGAGCAAGCAAATGAAATCAGCAAAAAGCAAACAAAAGTTCCTCACAGAGAGAGAGAAAATCGTTGGACGGGAACGGGGGGGTTTCAACTACTTAGCGTCAGCGACAGCCATGGCCAGCCGCCTCCACCCCCCACAGACTGCCACTTGGCCTTGGCTGCGAAATGGCGCTAAGCGTTAACTAAAATGCTGTGCGCCATTTTGTGTTTTAAATATATAAACACAATAAATATAAAAATATAAATAAAATGGCACAGGCCACTGACAGGCGGCAGGCAGGCAGGCAGCAGCCAGGCGGCAGGAGTGTGGGCGGGGGTTGGGGTATGGGCCAAAGCGCCACCAAATGTTGGCGCTGTAAAAATTGTTTACGACCACTAAAGGGAAACCGCGCAACACGACACCACAACACAACAGAACAGCACAGAAACAGAAGAGAAACAGAAGAGAAGAAAAAAACAACGCAAACGACAAGGACAGACCGCGACTCGCTCCCTCTCTCCCTCTCACTCACTCTCAAAGTGCGAGTTGTAAACCGGAAGTCTGTGGTCGGGGTCACCATATTGCTGGAATGTTTATGCGGCTGCCTGACAATTTTATGCTCATGCCCCCGCCGACCCCAACGATAGTCCAGCGATTTGGAAGCCCGTCAAATCGGATTTATCCGCCTCCCCCGTGTGGCGGGGCACTTTGGGGCATACTAAAGGGTTAGTCTTAGGGGGCACTTGGGGGCAGAACAGGGGCTGAAAATCCAAATCGAGGATCGCATTTTGGAGCAGCCCTCCATTGCTTTGACCCTTACCTTCTTTGGTTAATTTTAATAATTAAATTAATAGTATTAATATTAATATCAATTAATTAATTAATATTTATTTTTCTTTAATTTTTTGCGAATAAATTCGGGTAAGGAATTTAAAAAAATTAAAAATTAAATACGAAAAAATTGAAAGCTTTAACTTTGGCTCGATTTATCTTCAGGTAAAGCCATTGCATCGACACGAACAAAAACGAGAAGGAACGTGGGAGTCGCTTCTGGGGACGCGACTCTACTTTTATACCCGTACTTAGTCAATATATGTAATAATTTTTGAGCTTATGATTTATGTACAATTTAAAAAAATTGCATTTCTCTTCGTTGCACACATTCACTTTTATCACAAATCTAATATACCCCTTAACTCTTTTTGTTAACGGGTAAATTACTATGAAGGGTGAGCAAATATGACTTTGAACTCATCAAACTTTTTGTATATCAACGCTGCAAGTTATGTGAATTATTTGAAGTCTAAGTCATCGATTCGCAGGTGTTTAATATATAAATAAATAAATTTTATGTATGCGAATGTAATCCATTCATCCATCCTTAATTTTTGTCCCATGCTAAGTACATTTAAAACACAGCGTAATTGCCGCTCGTTTTAGTATAAGAATATTAGTATTAATACTAATAATATTATAATATTAATAATAATTAAATATATTAATTATATTATTATTAAATGATTGGAATGGTCCATGCTACATTATTATATTTTACACCGAAATATATTCTAATAAATAATAATATTAATAATAATTAAATATATTAATTATATTATTATTAATATTATTAATTATTAGAATATATTTCGGTGTAAGATGTAAGAATGTAGCATGGATCATTCCCATTTGTTTTGGGTAATTCTTACGCCATTTAAATCCCATCGTTTTGTTATCTGTTTGAATTTTCTAGCCTTAAGCTTAGCCCCAACTTGAACTGTTTTGCCTGTAAATTGTGACACTGTGACAGACACACTGGACTGGTGACAGTGAAAGCAGAAGCGCCACTTAACCAACGCGTATGTAAAGCCCCAGCTAAAGCTCTGCTCTGAGTGCGCTTTAACCTGCTTCAGCCACAATTTAAGCCCATCTTCCAGTGGCCACCTGCCAGGTGGAGGAGCTACAGCTACCGAGGAGTATAAAAGACAAATGTGCCTGTCAGATATGATTTCAATAATACTCCATAGCTCTGGCGGTTGCCTGGAAGATTGCCAGCCACACCACGCCCACACCACCACCCACCCACCCACTTGGAGGCAATCCCGTATTGCTCCTATATCTTGCAGCCTCTGCTGCACCATCCTGCTCCCCCTCTGGCTGGCTAATCCGTGGGTCAGGCACGGGTATAGGAGGAGAGAGAGAGATGGAGAGCTTGGGGGCCAGGTCTCTTGCCTCAAATTATGCAATGCTCGGGCTTTAAAGTAGATTACACGAAATTTGCACACGAAGGCACAAAAGCCCACGACGGGCATTAATCACGGACTCCACCATGCCCCAAATCGCCTCGCCTGTGCGAGGTCTGCCTTGGTCTGCCTGCTGTTGTTCCTGCTGTTCCTTCTGTACCTCCTATTGTGTGTTCTTTTTAAATAGTTGGCCATGTCACTGCCCCTGCCCGCTGCAGTAGGAGCCGCCGCCGTGGCAAATAAATTGCCAACGTGCCGGAATGCCTGGGGAAACCCTTTGGGTTTATGAGATTTTTCCATATTGCTTTCGCAGCGTGCTTTGCTCCAGGAGCTCCAGGAGCTGCCGTAACCAGGCGCCTCCTACAGCAGCCAGCAGCCAGTCGGCAATTGGCATTTGTAGTTGCAGTTTTTTTTTTTGGTGGCTTCTTTCGGCTGCTCCCCAAACAAAATTAACATAATTGTTCATTTGTCTTTTGTCTCCTACATATTTAAGCAGAGATCTCCTGAGATTCTACCCATTGGAGAATGACCAAAATTCTTGCTTTATTCTCAGCTATTTTTGTATGTAATATTTGTTGCTTTCTGGAATATTTTTGTATATATTTTTGGTGTATATCTTCTGATAGATATGCAACGGGGGGCACTATTTCCCTCGATCATTTTCAAAGCCCTTTTCATTTCCCTTCCCTTCCATGTCACCTTTTTCAATATATATAAACCCTTTTTAATCTTCATATTTTCTGCTGCTGCTGCCTCGTTTTCTTAACCCATCGAAGTCTTTTTCATGGCTTGGCTTTGCCCCTGATTCATTTCATTATTTTTCATTTCTTCTTATGCGAAACTTTATTGGTTCTTCCAGGGCAGGTCCAGTGCTGCTTGCCACTGCTGCCACTGCTGCTGCTGCCACTGCTGCTGCTGCTGCTTGAACCACTTTTGGCCGCAGGTTTTTGGCTTCTCGACCGTTTGCCAAATATTTTTCTTAAGCTCAAAGTGAAATGGCATAAATCATGTTCAATATTATTTCACAACGCTTCTCGCTTCTTGCTTCACTTTGCTCCTTCTTCTCCTCCTTCTCGTTTCATTTTGTGGCGCTGCTCTGCTCCGTTTGGGGTTCCATTTTTGTTGGTTTCTGTGTGTGGGCCCCGAGGTTAAATGATTTCATTTCACAGCAGCAGCAGCAGCAGCAGCAGCACTTGTTGCTGTTTGATTTGGTTTTATTGCAAGCACAAGAAGAAAGTATTGAATATGACTTACCAGTCATAGAGCCAGGGAGCAGAGCCAGAGATCAAGTTGGGGAAAAACATTCGCTGCCGCTGGCCAAATAAATTGCTTTTGCGGTGACGAGTCCCAGGCAACTTTTGTCGTAATTACCCAACGCCAAGTGCCTCTGGCTTGCTGCCTGCCCTCCTGTCTGTCTCTTGCTTCCTGCTGCTGGCACTTGGCATTAACCAAAATTACGGCCTGGCATTTAAGCAATACAACTAATTTGTGTTAAAATTCCATTAGCGGGTGCCCAAACGGCGAGTGATTGGATTTGTGGTGGCTGGCTTCGAATCGAATGGAACGAGAAATCAATCACTAAGTGCCATCACGCACAGGGATGAATCGCCAAAGCCAGCCGAGCCAGCCAGTCAAGGAATGGCCACGGCCAGCCTGAATCCGGGAATGCGCTTCAATTCAATTTGATTTTAAAGCACAAAAATTAGCTGCCAGCTCCTCTCCGATATGTGGCAAATGGCTTTGCCTTTCCGTTCACCTGCCAGTGCTCGAACTTATGTACAAGTCGAGCGTTAGTATTCATTTAGGATTATTTATATTACAATATTTTCGTAGTTCGTTGAATTTTTGAATAAGGTAAGCCACTGGATATCGTTCCTTCTACCCTGAACCCTGAACCCTGAACATGCCCTCGGGCGTGTCTTTTTAATTCCACGGAAGTGAAACGATTTGCCCTCAAGCAGAGGGGGGTGCCCCGTGGTGGCGCTCTTGCGCCGGATATTAATTGTCGCGCTCTTCAAATGTAATTGGAAATTTGCTCAAAGTATCGGCGACCAAATCCCCCAATCCCCGATTCCCGATGCCCCCTCCAAACTAATTTGAGTTGCGCTTTCAGATAAAAAGACTTTCCCAGTGACATGGAAGCGACAGAGCCCCAGTCGGAGGCGACCCGGTCCGAGGAGCCCCAGTCGGAGGCGACCCAGTCCGAGGAGGTGCAGCAGGAGCTGCCCTTTGACCAGCGCGACTGGTACGCCATCGTTCGCGGCCAGCAGGATGCGGAGCGCGCGTTCGACGAGCTGATGGAGGGACGCAGCGAGACGCTGCTGGAGTACTCGACGCGTCTGGACGAGCGCCACAAGCGGCGCCAGCAGTTGCGCGAGACGCTGGCCGAGCAGATGCCCTGGTCCGACGCCCACTTCCTGGCCATCAATGTGCGCAGCGTTCAGGCCGTCGCGTGCAGCTGCGATGAGGACTGGCAGCGGATGCTGCGCGGCAATCTGGGCGCCACGGTGCGCGTGAGTGTGGGCCCGGCCACCTTCTGGTGCATTGGGGCGTTGCTGACGCGTCACAGCAGCTTCTTTCGGCGCCAGCAGTCGCTGGCGGAGGAGTGCAGCCTGCCGCAGCTGACGCCTGTGGGCTTTCGGGCGGCCTACACCTGGATGCGGCTGCAGGAGCCGCTCGAGTCGAGCAGCGTGCACGGCGAGCACGGCGAGCCCGAGCAGATTGTCGATATGCTGCACAGCGCACAGCATCTGGAGATGTGCGACCTGGAGATGCTGTGCCAGCGCTACCTCTGCTCGGAGCACTTCAGGGAGGGCCGCGCCCTGCAGGTGTACCTGCGCGCCCGGCTGTACGGCAAGGCGGCCATGGGCAATCTCTGCCAGTCGATGCTGCAGCGCGTGGGCAAGTACTACCTGACGATGGTGGCCAGCCAGGAGTACGCGGAGCTGCCGCTGGAGGACGTGTGCCTGCTGCTGGAGCAGGACAACATTGGCGTCAATACGGAGCTGGAAATATTTTACGGCGCTCTGCGCTGGCTGTGCATCGATCCGGAGGAGCGCATCGCGGCCCTGCCCCGCCTCATGGAGTGCGTCCGCTTCACGTGGATGCCCCGCACGAAGCTGCTGGAGGTGTGGTTCTGCCTGCTGACCGCCCGCCAGGGCATTGCCCTGGAGCGCGTTCACATGTCCGTCGATCCGATTATCGTCTGTGCCGTCGCCTACTGCCCCGGCCTGTGGGAGCGCGTCAACAAGGCGGTGAGCGTGGCCAATCTGCGCCTTCAGTTCGACAATCGTCCGCTGCCGTCGGCCCTCATGCGCGCCTTCAATCTCCATCTGGACCCGGTGCGCGAGTGGTACTACGACGAGTGCTGCCCCTACCACATGCTCGATCCGCAGCCGCCGCAGCAGATCGATGTGGCGCCCAAGGATTTCCTCAGCTTTGCCATCTCGCTGGCGCACAAGGAGCAGGAGCTGCTGCGCTCCAAGGAGCAGGACCTGACCAAGCTCTGGGAGCCGCTGTGGGACCCGCAGCGCGATCACCCGAGCGACGTCCTGTCGGTGACGTCGGCTGCCAGCTGCCAGGCCGACTGGCTGCAAGCGGCCCTCGACAACAGCCATGAAGAATCCTTTTCAAGCACTGCACTGCCCTTCGCGGACAGTCATGCCACATCGCCCAGCCGCTCGCCGTCGATCAGCGGGCCGAGCAGCCCCGCCACCTATGCGCGTGCCTGGCAGGCCACGTCCGCCTGGCTGCGGAACGTCCAGACCCGCAGGCCGCCCCGAGAGCGAGAGCGAGAGGTGGCCGAGGCAGCGGCCCCGATGGACGTGGACAACGTGCTCGCATCGCTGGACATCGACGAGCTGTGCGACTCGTTTGCCAGTCTCCATTTGGGCGCAGGCCACAGCTGCAACGGTGGGTGGGATGAGTTTTTGAACCAGAAAAAATGCACACGCGCGGACTGCGCCAGCTGGCGTAGGAGCAACGGCTACGCACCGGACCCCAATGACACACAACTGAAGGCGTTGTGCCAGTTCGATCAGGACATGGGCAATCCCACACTGAAGGTGCCCTTCTTTCAGCTATACAAAGTAGGTAGCACACCAGCCCACCCACACCACATGCGACATGCGTCATTAAGCAGCCTGCCACCACCCCCTACCCCCCACCTGCCCACAGGAGAGATGTCAAATCATGGAGAAGCCATTGGCATGCCCTCAGGGCACCCAAGAGCACAATACACAGTCGCTGGCAGCCCAGGTACATCACAGAGAGAGAAAGTGATCGAGGATGCGATTGAGATGCAGGAACAGGAACAGACTGTTGAGGCGGATGCCATTTTCCACTGAATCACAAGACACACGATCACCCCCCCCCTGCCCACGCACCGCACCACCCATGCCACTACACGAATGTTGATTCAATGTTTAACAGTAAATTTTTTGTTATTAAAATTTAAGAAAAAGAAAGGGAAAAGGAAGAAGATTCATTCGTTTGTCTCCTCCCCAGCTAAAGGGAGGAGGTACTCCCCTAATTGATTTCATAATTGCTGGCGCATTGCTTTTTCTTTTAATTAAAGCAATTTATGCCAATAAATTGATTTCAATTATTTGTGCTGTCATCCCCAGCTCCCAGTCTCTCTCTCTCTCTCTCTCTTTGTGCAAATGGATTTCTTGTGTTTTTTTTTGCTTGAGTAAAAACAATATTGCCAGCAGCAGGTGCGGAAAACAGTAAGGAAAGAGACAGAGAGAGAGCGCTTTCAAGTGGCCTCAGAGTGGACAGAGGACAGCGGAGGAATGCGATGGCTGCAGATTAAATCGAAAACGGAGATAGACAAAGGTGAAAACACCCCAAAGACGCATTTGTACACACCATTGCGCGATTGGCGATTGGGCTGGGCTGGGCACCAATTTATCCATTGAAGCATTGAGGCCCCTCCCATCCCTTCAAAATTTGGAGCAAAGTTTAACACTTGGTATGAGCCCAGAGCAACAGTCTGTTAGCGCACTTCGCCAACAGTCTGTTAGCGCACTCCGCCAGCAGTCTGTTAGCGCACTCCGCCAGCAGTCTAGTCTGTTACCGCACTTCGCTAACAGTCTGTGGCCGCTCCCGATTACAGGTCACTGTTAGCGCTCTCCCACAGCACTCTGACGATCCACATCCGCTCTCGAGCGGCGCTATTGCTTTTAAGCTTTAAGCCCCGCTCTGAGCGAAATCAGTTTCGTTCCTACTGCAATATGAGACTGCCGCAATACTGCTACCTGCCATACATATCCAAATATACATATACCCCACAAACCTAAGCACGCACCGACTATTACTATTTCTTTGCTTGTTCTGTTTCACCCTTCTACAACTACAAACTCTTTGGAAACATTAAATTTGCTGCGTCAGTTGCTCTCTCTTTAATCGATCTGCGATCTTAGTCGCTTTTACAGCTACATTGAAGCTAAAGTTAAACCATCAGTTCAAACATTTCTTTTGGCCAGTTCCGCCTCATTAATTTCCACTGCCAAGAAGGAGGACGAGGCGGAGTCCAAGTTGGGGTGAAAAGGTGAGACATGTGTATGTGTGTGTGTGTGTGTATGTGTGTGTATGTGTGTGTGCACACGTTTCATGTGTTAACGAGTTGGAAAAATTATTATTACATTATTATTTTGTCGGCGAGTGATTCAACAGCAAATACCACAAGGTGCAACCATCCAAGAGGCAGCTACAAACAAACATACATACATACACACATACCCACATTCAAACATTCACATCGCCTTTTGCCCCCCGTGTTTTCGTGTGCTTCTTTCTGTATGGCAAGGAGCTTACAATAACAATAAATTTCAATTTTTCACACACAAACACATACACACAGAGCGAAGAGCGTAGAACGTAGAACGTAGAGCACACGGTTGCATTCATGGAAATGGCGGCTTGCCTCTTGCTGCTGCTCCTGCTGCTGCTTCCGGTTGCTGCTGCTGCTGCTGCTGCTTTCTGCTGCTTGCTGCTGCTTGCTGCTGTTCTACGTGTTTGTGGGTGGTGGTGGTGCTGGCACACAGCCCTTGAGCAGCTTGCGCTTCCAGCAATTTATGCGCTTTACGCGCTTTTGCTAAATAAATTTATAATGCAAACACACACACAAAAACAGAGAGAGAGAGAGAGACGCACACAGATACGCAGACAGATAGTCGAGGGGATAGTAGGAAGTTCCAGTTACAGTTACAATTTCCCCACAGCATCCATGCCCAGCCCCAGCCCCAGCCCCAGCAACAACCAAAACTTTAGCGAGTTTTAGAACGTTTTGTCCTCTTTCTGTTTTCACTGGCAGACGAAGAAGACGAAGGAAGAGTAGGAGAAGCAGGAGTAGAAGGAGGAAGCTGCACTGCCTGGTTAGCGCTACTTTAGATACATTTGTATCCACGATAAGTCTCAGCGTCATGCATGTGAGTACACCCCTGGCGCTGCTCCACTTCCTCCTTTCTCTGCGTTTCTCTCTGTGTGTGTGTGTGTGTGTATGTGAATTACGAAAATTTTCTTGCAATTAAAATTTGTTGCTTTCTGGGTATCATAATTTTATAAGTTTTCTGGGGGGGTGGAACTGGTGACTGCAGACTGCAGACTGGTTGCTGGGTTAGAGACGTCTTCATTCCCGCAGTTCCACTGCCACATAACAAATTACAAAAAGCTTTGTGCATATGCTTAAAACATACTCCTCCTACCATCCCATACGATTTATCTATGCAGCTGTGGGGTGGGTGGCGGCCCAGCCAGAGATGTGGTGGCTACCATTAGTAAAATATTATGGCTACATTTTGGTTTGTCAATCCTCGCTGCCCTTTAAGATGTGCCACCAAAACGAAGATAAAATGGAAATGGGAGTGCTTAGATTTAAGAGATCTAATCGGGGCACGCAAATTATGATTGCCAACAAATTAAACCACTTAAAATAGCTGCAAAGCGGAATGAAATGTACCCACAGACTACTCGAAATATTTTTAATATTTAATATAATTTTCATTTTTTCTCAGCTTCGTTTGATGGTTTCATTTTTTAACTTTGAGGGAAACAAAAAGCTCAAGAATAAATATTATGAATAATAATTTAAATCGTTTAACTAAAAATTAGCTACAAGATGTTTGAAGTTGCCTTAAGATCGGTAAGCGAGCAATGGACATTCTCTTTATTTGTATCTGCATCTGTAGCTGTTCGCAGTATTTGGCACGACTCACCTAAAATGGCGTTTGTGATGCTGAAGCAGCAGACTCTTCCGCCACTCGCCACCATCAGAGACACTCTTCTGGGTTATGCTACCATGTGCTTCAGGGTCGGTGCCAGGTGGCAGTTGCCAGTTGCCAGGTGGCTACCTGTGTCCGAGAGAACAAGGGACAACTTTACAGCAACTTCCCGTACTCGTACATATCATTAATCTGGGATTTTAGGCTGCTTTCTGGTTTGGTCGTCGGCACTTTATAAAATTCTAATAAGCGTGTGCGGCGTGTGGGCATGTGGCGCGATTAGGCACTTACAAATGGCAGACTCCAGGCAAGGGCCAAAGCCAGAGGCAGGGCAGAGCCAGGGCCATAGCCAGGGCCAGAGCCAGGGGCTTGGGTCAGCTTAAAAGCCTTGCCTCGCCAGCCGCACCTGTGGCCCCCTAATGCGACTGGCGGGATTGCCCCATGCACTGCCACAAAATGCTGCAACAAATGCAGCAGATCAGTGGAACCCAGACACACACACAAAGCTGGAGAAAGTAGAATTAAATCTTCTAAAAAATACTTTTGTTTGCAATTTTGCATTAATGAAATGATAATCGTGTGAGTTTTTGCTGCAGTGTACGGCACACACACTCTTGTATGCAAATGCGTCCATGTTTATGCCACAAATGTGCCTAAAATTATGTTAAGCACTTGCCAGAATCGCACCCCCCCTGGTATCCCAGGCACAGATCCAGGCTGCCTGACTGCCTGGCTGCTGCTGGCTGCTGCTGGCTGCTGCTGGCGGAACGTTGATGGCTTAGGCTCATTTATAAATCGACGACAGTAAATTATAAATGGAATTACTATTACAACTACCAAGGTCCTTTTCCCTTTTCCCCCTGCAGCACAGCATTGTGTGTGTGTGTGTGTGTTTGTGTGTGTGTGCTTACATCAACGCCTTTTGTAAAATTGAGCTGTCTTCTGTCCTTAGCAGACGCACAGGACATGAGGACAGCAGCACATACGGAAAGCCACACCAAGGAGTGAGACACAAACAGTGGGCAGACAGTAGGAGCGAGAGAGAAAGAGCTGGGAAAGAGACATCTATAGCGATTGAGACAGACGGAGAGAGAGAGAATGAGTGTCGCCAGCACAAACACATGAATGTTGCAGTATATTAAAGTTCAAAAAGGCAGCGACAGAATGACTTAGAGGAAAGGCAGCACACACACACACACACACACACAAACACACACAGCCAGCAGGGAGTGTGGGGTAAGGGCGAGGCATCACTGACAGCATCTGCCATTTCGATGTGGGCGTCTGAACAACGCCAAAAGCCTAAGGATGACACCCATGCCCCCCCAAAAAAAAATCAAGCAAGAAAGTAGGAAAAGAGCAGCTCAGCGAGAAAGAGCAAGAAAAAGAGGCAATAGAGAGACAGAAAGAGAGACAGAAAGAGAGACAGAAAGAGAGATATTGGTGGAGCAAAAAACAAGAAAAAATGGAGCCAGGACATTGGCGTGTTTGGGCCAAAGCAAAGAAGCAAACAAGTTCCGCGCCCACAGCGTCGCCAGGGAGGAGAGCGTGAGGTGATCCTGCGGGCAGACAGCAAGTGCAACGGGAAGGCGATGTCACGATGTCAGCAGCAAGGAAAAAAACGAAGAATGCCAGCTAAGAAGAGAAAGATCTCCCCCCCCATAGATTGGGCTCTGTCTTTCTCTGATTCTCTGCTCACTTC